TTTTAATGACGGATTATTTTTTCATAAGCGTACCAAGCAGGGTAGAAGGCTAGAAGACTTGTCTTTTGTGACGTGATCGAAACGAAAATGAGTCATAGAAAGCTAAGCCAAGTAAATTGTTACCAAATGAAAAATATTAGATTATCCTCTTTATTCATTTGAGTTGACACACTTGTTTGTTTGAGTTGAAGTTAAAATTATGATAGTGTTGTCAATTTTGTGTCCAGCTGTTCCAGAAGAATTTTGGACCGACAAAAATGTATGGTACGCTCATGAGAAGACCAATAAGGATAAGGTTTGGTGAAGAGGGGCACATAACGCTTTTTCAACTCTTTTTTAATCTGTTCAAATCTAATAATTTATATATTATTATAATATGAGATCGAATGGAAATAAACTATTTTTTTTATGACGAACTAATAAATTTATTTTTATCATGACAAGTGTGGTATTGAATTATTCTAATTTAAATACTACCTCAAACCGTCAAACACACGAATTTCTGGCAATAAACCATACCCATATGGTGACAGTGAATGAAGACTTTTATCTTGCTTTTGAATATATCATACAAATGCACAATACAAAATAATTAACGGTTAAAGTGTAAATTTGTCCTGAAATTTTTTATTAATTTTGAGTGCAAATTTATTTTAAATATTTAAAATTATGATAATATTGCTTCTTATCATTAAAAAATTAATAGTATTTATTAAAATGATAGCATTGATCGTTAATATTTTTAACAGTATGAGAACAATATTGTTATGATCTGAATTTGCACATTAACCCATAAATAATATATATGCAACAAAGTATAGAATGTGAAAGTTTATTTGATACTATAAATGAAAGAGAAAAATAAAAAAATAAATTTATTTGATAAAATTTAATGTTCATGCCCCTTTTTATTAAAAAAAAACATTTAAAACAATGAGAATATACTGAGAACTGGAAAATAGTAAACCTACAATGTTTTTTTTCCTTCTTTTTGGGGAATACCTTATAATGTTTTCTATTACACGATTATTTTTCCAAAAGCGGACCAAATGGGGCAGAAGACTGGCCTTTGTGATATGATTGAAATGAAAATGAATTAAAGAAAACTCACAGCCAAATAAGTTGATGATAAATTCATGAAGTATTAAATTATCTTATTGAGTACTACTCAAAACATAAATTTAAAGAAATTCTTGAGAAATAAAAAAAATTTCTTTTTTTTCCCCCTTGGACCAGCGAAACAAAATTTTTTCAAAGTACATGTAAATCAACCAAAGTTTGCTTAATTAGCGTTGACGGTCGACCTTGTAAACTGTTGAAGCCAACAAAATTTGAAGACTTTTCAAACCCAAAACCAAAATTTAATTTTTAAGATTCCATTCATTTATCAATCAAACTCATCATGGCAGCACCGACTTTGAATTGTGTTTTTTTTTTTTTGCTTTAAAATCAATCAAACTAGCTTATGTTCATGAATTGATACTTTATTTTTGTCTCTCTCTCTATACAGTACAAAAAAATAGCGTATTAGTGACGGAATTTTAATCCCTTACAAAATCTGTCACTAAAATTAGCGATAGAATTTAGTGACGGAAAATTTCCGTCGCTAAATTAGTGAAAGATTAGTGACGAAATTTTATTCCGTCACTAACTTAGAGAAGGATTAGTGACGGAATCTTATTCCGTCACTAAATTTTGTTATGAGTCTGTCGCTAATTTTGTATTTGGCTAATATTGAAAAACAGCAAGGGAATCTTATTTTGCATTTGGCTAATATTCCCATCATAAAACATTCAAAGGTTTATAACCCCTTAAGAGAATAATACTAGCTTCAATTCTGAATATAAGAGCTAGTTGATTAATTTAAGTAGATTAAGAAAAATAATTAAGTTAGTTATTTGTAATAAATAGATATTGTCTTTCCTAAAATATTCTCATCAATCAAGTGTATTAGCTAGAACAACCATTATTATAAAAACTACCCTTAAAAAATGGATAAATATAAGATATAAAATAAATTGAAGTCTTATATTTATGATCAAAATAAAAATTAAATAAGCTCTTATATTAAGAACTATTTCTTTTGGTCCTAAATGGTAAAGCTAAATCACTAATTTATATATATATCAAACAAATTTATTAAATTAATTATTTGCAATAAATATGTTTTAATTTTTCAAAATATCCTTTTGGTCATTATCTCAGGAATAAAAATTCTCTTTAATATGCAATCAATAACTTAAAATTTTTTTTATAAATTTTAGAGACAAAAGATATTGAGATATCAATTTAAGAGTTAACTCTTACATTTACAACTATGGCAAGAATATTGAAAAACATCCCTTGCTGTTATTTTTTCTGCAATTCTTTGCATCCTCTCACACAAACTTTACAAAAATTAAAAATAAAACAAGCCTTATAAAGAAAGACTCATGTATCCCCAAAAAAAAAAACAATGAAAGAAAGACTCATGCCCCAACTTTTTCGGAACCCCTAGTTGTCCAAGTAAGTTGTGCTGAATCAACACCTTGTATTTTTTTGGGTCTTCCATTTTTTTTTTACCTGAGGGTTTTTCCAATTTAACACCTTATATTCTAAGTACATACGAATTTTTAAAAGATATATTCACCACATAATTTGGGATGCCCTTGTATGACGGCTCGTTGAACGGTTTCGTTTAAGACCCTCTTTTTAATTATGACCATTTGATTGTTTGAATTAACTTGGTTGAAGTTTTTGAAGGATTTGAAAATTGGGAGGAAAATGAGGGCAAAAAAAATGTATGAATGAGCTTCTATATATACAGATAGACATATATATATAAATACATACTTGAAAATTATTTTTTTGGGAGAAATTGGTGGGTTCAAGCACTTGTTATACTTTTTTTTTTGTTTTGTCCTCTTTCGTATTTAAAATATTTCATTGACCCTTATTTTTTATTGAATTTTAATGATGTCAAATGAAACAGTAAAACACAAAACTGGTAAAATAGGGAGGAGGAAAAATTAAAGAGAAGATGTTGTTATCTCTTTTGTTTAGATAGACAAGAGAAAATAGAAATGAAAAAATGAGCAAATATCTAAATAACTAAAATATTCTTATCAAAATATATCATATTTAAAATTAAATCAAATTAAATATTGCAATAGGAACATTATACTAACATTAACATTATCAAGTAATTTAAAATCAAGTTATTTGGTTTGTATATATATTCATATTATCATATTGTAAAACCAAATTATTTAATAAAAAGTGAATAATCTTTTGAATATAATAAAAAAATAAATATGGAGAGGAAAAGAGAGGAGGGACAGTCACAAAATCTTATTTTTCTTCCCAAACCTCTCAATATATAAAGAGAAAATTTGAAGAGCAAGTGAGACGCGTGGCCTATTTTATTTTCTCCCCCACTTTTCTACTCTGCTTGAATGGGAAGAAAAGTTGGGAGGAAAAAAAACAGGAGGAGAGGAATAGAGAGAAGGAAAAAGTAGATAGAAGATGTTATCAAAAAACTAGAGAGAAGATGTTCTTATCATCTTGCTTGGATAGATGAGAGAAAAATAGGGGGGGAAAGAAAATGAATAAATACCTAAATAACTAAAATACCCTTATCAAAATATATCATATTTAAAATTAAATCAAATTAAATATTGCAATAGGAATATTATACTAACGTTAGCGTCATCAAATAATTTCAAATCAAATTATTTGGTTTATATATATTTTCATAGTATTATATTTTAAAAGCAAATTATTTAATAAAAAATATTCTTGTAAGATTAAAAAATAAAAAAATGAATAATTTTTTAAATATAATAAAAAGAACATAAATGTGAGAGGAAGAGAGAGGAGGGACAATCAAGAAAATCTTGTTTTTCTTCCTGAGTCTGTCCATATTTGGAGAGAAAATGAGATATGGAATCTATCTTATTTTTTTCTCACTTTTTCTTCCTCCCATATTTTCTCTCCTATCTAATCCTAAAATATTGTGCCTGTGATGAATTGGTGGATACATGTATCAATTAAATGAATTTCGTTAGGATGATGATCAATTGAATTAGAATCGATTTTGAAATAATTCGTTACATTGATATTTAGAAAACTCAGTTCTCCTTATATTTTCCCCTCTAGTTTTCTTTCCTCCCTAATTTTATTTTAATCCAAGCAAGGGGTTCCTTCCTCTCATATTTTCTCTCATATCCAAGTAAGAAAAAGAACTGATTTCTCTCCATATTTTTTTAATCTAATTTTCTTTTCTCTCTACTTTTCTCTCAATGCGAATAAGGGGTAAAAAAATGAACATAAGAATTTATGAACTTACGAAAAAAGGGGTCACGATGTTGTTATGGGCTAAAATGCTTTTAGGCCCAAGGTTTTCATAAGAGGACAAGCCTAGTTGAATGTTAACGTTAAGTAATAAAGCAATTGAGGCTCGTGTTTTGCATGGTCATATTTTCACTTTTAAGAGTTTGGCAAAAACAAGAAAAAAATTGTTGAGAGTTTAAAATTTGAAATAAAATCATTTTGCTTATTTTAAATTCCTGCTTGCAGCATTATTCTGAACAATCATATATCGATCATAAAGTCTGGAAGTAGAAAGTGATTTTCACATATTTATAAAAACCTAAAATCCTTCAATAGAACAACGAACAAACTAAAAGTTTCTTTAAATCATTAATTAAATGAGGAAGGTTGAATGGTTGATAATTAATTCAAATAACATAAGTTGATGACATGTCTGTACCAGAAAGAAAAAAAGTTGCTAATACGTGGAAAATTTTATTCACATGATAATCAAATAGTACATAGCATACAAATGAAGGCAAATCACTTGAAATTCATTAAAAAAAAAAAAGGGAAAGACAATCATTAAAATATACAGTACATTACATTCCAATCACTGACAAGATATTTAAGAAACATGAAATAATAACCATAGTGGAAACATGGAAAAAAAGACGACAAAATATATCACATGAAGCCACATTTTGTGCCTAATTCACTCTTTGATTCTGATGGGCTCTTTTCCTTGTCCTTTTTGCTTGTTTCTTAAGCCTGGCTTGAAAAATTCTGACAAGCTCTTTAGGTTTTCCAGTTAAGAAAATAACTTGACCCATGAATATTCCAAACACCATCCCACATCCATATCCCAAAGCCATTGGTTTCCAACCAAATCCAAATTTGTCATTACTTGACGAAGTTGGTTGTGGTAATTTCCCTTCATCATGATTACATGCTTTTGACAATTGAAATCCACACAGTCCTAAATTTCCCTCAAAAGAATCTTGTGAAAATGTATCAAACTGCTTACCTGTTGGTATTTCTCCGACAAGCTGATTTTGTGAAAGATTCAAAACTTCAAGAAAGTTAAGATCTGCTAGTGCAAGAGGAATCTCACCTTTAAGCAAGTTTGATGATAAATCCAATGATTCTAGGTTGGTCAAGTTTGCAATGGATTGAGGAATCGGACCAGTGATTTTGTTGTGGGAGAGATTAAGCCCTTTAAGTAAATGCAACTCACCAATAACATGTGGAATCTCTCCATCAAACATGTTTTTTGACAAATCAATGGATGTGAATGTAGTTATGATCTTTATCAACTCCAAATCAACACCTTTCAATGTGACCATCACTGATTCTTGATACTTATAAGATGCATTATGGATTTCCAAATAATCTAGTATGGTTGAAGCAAAGTCAACATTCATCATTCCTTTAAATTCCTTGATGTATGTTATTGGCAAAGATCCTGTAAAAAGGTTGTTGGAAACATTGAAAATTCTTAACATGGGAAAAGGATGTTTGGTGTTGGAACTATGAATGGCACCATAGAACTTATTATCTCTTAAAATGAGTACCTGTAGCTCTGGTAAGCCTTCAAGCCAATCAGGAAATTTGTCATTGATCTTGTTTGCTCCCACATCTAAAATTCGTAACTGCTTGCAATGGGTTAAAGATAAAGGCAATCGTCCCTCAAATTGATTGTTGTTCAAATGCAAAGATTCCAAATAAATGCTCCTAGAAAAATTGTCTGGTATAGATCCGACAAAATTATTCATCTGCAGATCTAAACTCTTAAGATCTGGCAGAGCAACAAGGCACTTTGGGATGTGGCTTGACAAGTTGTTGTGAGATAAGTTGAGTATCACAAGTGAGCTTGCATTGCAAAATGAGGAAGAAATGTGTCCACTTAATTTGTTGTTGGACACTGAAAAGAATTCAACATCAAATGATGGAATTGGAAGATTTCCTAGCAACAAGTTGAAGCTGAGATCAAGAGACCTCAAGTTTCTCATTGAAAGATATTCAACTGATGTCAAGTTATTATGAGAGAGATCCAAAGCATCCAAAGAACCATTCCCCACATTATTGAACCATTGGGGAATATCTCCACGAATTTTGTTATTGGAAAGATTTAACCCCTTCAAATTTTGAAGGCTTCCTAATTGTTTAGGAAAGTCATTGATGTTGCAAGAGGACAGATCTAACTGTGTAAGATTGGGAATGGTATGGTGAACATCATTATTAGAGCTAAGTGAGAGAAACTTGTTGTTTGAAAGATCAAGATCTCGTAGATTTTGAAGCTTTGAGAATTGATGAAGACTAATAGGGCCTCTCAAATTATTTGATGACAGACTTAGATGGGAAAGATTTAGGAAACCAAAAATTGACTCAGGAAGACCTTGCAACTTATTATCATTAAGATATAAAAACTGCAAATTTGGAAGGCCTACGAATTTTGGAAAGATAGTGATATGACAAGAAGATAAATACAAGTACCTAAGGTTGGGAATGGTGTAGTTAAGATTATTATCAAAGGCAAGTGAGAGAAACTTGTTGCTTGAAAGATCAAGATATTCTAGATTTTGAAGCTTGGAAAATTGGTAAAAATTAACAGAGCCACTCAAGTTATTTGATGATAGACTCAAATAAGAAAGATTTATGAGGGTGAAAATTGACACAGCAAAATTACCTTGCAGCTTGTTGTCAGAGAAATCAAGAGATTTCAAATTTGAAAGATTTCCAAACACATCTGGCAACAAGCCACTAAAATAATTGTAACAGAGGTCTAATGAAGTGAGACTTGACATATTTGAAAGAAATGAGAGCTCACCACTAAAAATATTAAATGCAAGGTTCAAGTCAGTTAATTGAGTGAGGTTCCCAAAACTTGTAGGAATAGGCCCATAAAATTGGTTACCCCGAAGACCCAAAAAATAAAGAGACTTCAAATGGCCTATGGAATTTGATAAGAGACCATTAAAATAATTGCCACTGAGGTCTAATGAAGTGAGACTTTGAAGATTTGAAAGAAATGAAAGCTCACCACTAAAATTGTTTCCAGCAAGGTTCAAATCAGTTAATTGAGTGAGATTCCCAAAACCTATAGGAATAGGCCCATCAAATCTGCAACCTTCAAGACTCAAAATATTAAGCGACTTCAAAGGCAAGGAGCTTGGTGCAATGGAAGACATATTTACATGATCTAAAACAAGTTCTCTCAAATCAGTCATGTTTAGAACAAGCTTCTCCCAAGTGGATGGTTCAAGTCTTAAACTCAACCCTTCAAATCCATTCATAGACAAATCAAGAGAGACCAACTTCGACAATTCTGCAATTTTAGGAGAAATTTCACCAGCAAAAGCAGAATAGCTTAAGTTTAGATGCATCAGAGTGGAAAGACCACCAAAATGAGATGATATCAAAGACCCCCTAAAATTGTTGTGAGCCAAGTTGAGTGTTTGGAGATGAGAAAGTTGGAAGAGGCTATTGTTCGGATGGAGTTGACCTTGGATCCAACTACAAGTAAGATCAAGGCAAATCACATGACCAGACATGGAGTCACACGTGATCCCATCCCACAGGCAACAGTTTGAATCATTTCCCCACGAAGCTGTCTTTGGGTAAGATGAGTTCCTAAACTGTATAGTATAACTATCATCATCATCATGAAACTCATCACACTCCATTGAAGCAGAATGATCAAGAGAGAGAGAGTTTTTAAAATGAAAAAGCGCAATGGAATCATGAGAATTACATAATGGGGGGTTGAGAGAAGAAAGGGAAGGAGAAAGAAGGAACAAGCAAAAACAGATGGTGATTCGAAATGCCATGAGCGAAGTTAGAAGGCTGTGAATATCAAGGAGTGAAGGATATGGTATCTAACATATGAGGCTTCTTTTATAGGTAGAGCTACGCATGATAAAAGGTTTGTCATAGTAATTGTTGGCCATGACAAACAGATTTGCTGATAACATCACTGTAGCCCTTACTCATAATATAATATTTCTTTGTATTATAACTTTAATATAGAATAATATTCCGAAGGTAACTAGCAAGTTATTAAAAAAATTACTTTTGCAAAAAATAATTAAACTAATTTTATTTAATGAGTAGTAATTAATAGTATTGTCATGGTCGATGAAAATGAAATATTAAAAATAAAAGAAAAAATTGTGCTACCCAATTTTATTTTGCAGAAGGCTTACGTATTACGTATATCTTTTAAATGGAATAGAAATTTCTATAATTAAGGAAAATAAAAATATACGTATATCTTTTAAATGGAATAGAAATTTCTATAATTAAGGAAAATAAAAATAAGTTCATTATATCATATACATCGAGAGAGGGGCAGAGGCTACGGAGAAGGCTACCAAGAAAAAAGTTATGTTTCCTTGGACATTAAAAAAAAATGAAAGACTTATTAAGAGAATTAACTTTAAAAAAAATCTATTTTACATTTTACAACAGAATATTCCTCTCATATACTTATTTTGAAAATATAAAATCACTCAAAATAAATTAATTCAAATATTCACTTGACTAAACAAATGGTCCTAGCAACACGTCGAACGTACTTGACTGAACGAACGTTGATTAAACTTTTCCAAAAATTTGTGGTGAAACCTTTTGAAAATTAGTGTTCATATATAATTTAATAATTACTAATATAGTCAAGAAATACGGAATTTTGTGAGGTCTGTCAATTTTCAATTTGATAATTATATTTTATGCTAAAATAAAAAACAGTTTCAATTAAGAACTTGAACAAAGTGAAATATGAGAGACCTTATAACATACTCTTTTGAAAAAGTAATTAAATTTCAAAATTACTATCATGATCCTTAACATAAGACCCAGTTACATAATTACATGTTATATAATTTCTCTAAAATACTTATGTATATCATTACATTATATATTAATTTATAAAAGTAACAAGATAAATATAAATATATTAAGGTAATTTATTAACTTTCTTGATCTGCTCAAACAAATTAATTAAATCTTATATTAAGGATCAGAGGTAGTATTTGAATACAAGGAGGGTGGGAGAATATAAGAGATTACCATATTATCCAAAAAAAAATTGGCATTATTTTTTTGTCAGATTTTTTTCGGCTTTATTTGAATGGCGTGCTAAAAGGATTGGAAGTGAGAAATTTCAAAATGGTCCTTCATTGTCCAGCTGCCATTAATTCATTTTTGTCCCAAAATTTTGATTTTGAGTATATACACACACAGAAATAGTATACCATAAGTTTGATGTTATAAATTAAAAGGGAAAATGAAAAAAATAATTTTGTTTGATAAAATTTAATGCTTATACGCCTATTTAGAAAAAATCATTTAAAACAATGAAAAAGAGGGAATAATTATTATATCAATATATATAACAAATATGTGCCCTAAAAAGTTTTCAGTTGCGAATTATTTTTCCATAAGCATACCAAACGGGGAAGAAGACTTGCCTTTTTTGGGGTAAAGAAGACTTGCCTTTTGCGATGCGGCTGAAATGAAAAATAATCGAAGAAAACCCACAGCCAAGTAAATTGTTAACAAATAAAAAAACAATATTAAATTATCTTATCCACTCATTTCAGTTGCTTCCTCAACCCTCACTAACTCCTTATCATCAATTGGACTTGAATGGTTCTAACTCAATGCCGCTCAAACCGTTAAACAAGTTATAAATTTCTTGTTATTGGCTAGCTACGGTGATAGAGAAAGTTAGAATTTTCTCCTCCCTTTGAATAAAATCATACAAATATATAAGCTATGCATGAAAACGTTCATAAGAGTACTCGACTAAATTCGAGATGAAAGGCGAAAAATCATTTTATTTGATAAAATTGAATTTTTATGCCTTCATTTCTATTAGAAAACATTTGAAACAATAAGAATGCAGGAATAATGGTTATATCAGTATAATCACTGCCCTACAAAAGTTTTCAATTATAGGATTGTTTTTCCATTAGCGTAACAAACGGGGGAGAAGACTTGACTTTGTGATTGATTGATGAAATGAAAATGAATCAAAAGAACAATAAAAGGCGTAAAGAACACGTACATATCCACATTTATGCCTGATGCAATGTTGATTCAACTTTTTCTGAAAATTTATGAAAATTAGTGTTCATATATAATCTAATATAACACTAATATGGTCAAGAAATATGGAATTTTGTGAGGCAGATCCATTTGATTATTTTATTTTATGCCAAATAAACAAAAATTTCAATTAAGAACTTAAAGTCAAATATGAGAGATCTTTTATAACATACTCTTTAGAAAAAGTAACTCAATTTGAACATTATTTGAATTTTAGGAGTATGGTAGAGATATAAAGAGATTACCATACTATCAACAAATTCTTTTGGCTATTATTTGAAGGGCGAGCTAAAAGGTCTGGAAGTGACAATATTCAAAGTGATCCTTCATTGTCAGCTGCCGTTGATCCCCCCCCCCAAAAAAATTTTTTTGGTTTTCAGTGGTTCTAAATTTCTAATTACTCAAACCGTCAAACACGTTATAATACGCAATACTAAATAATATATAATAATACAACACACACAGAGAAATAGTATAACACATGTCTGATATTAGAGATGAAAAGTGAAAATTAAAAACAATAATTTTACTTGATAAAATGTAGTGTTTATGCCCCTATTTAGAAAAAAGGCATTTCAAACAATGAAAAATAGGCAATAATGATTATATGAGTATCAATCATAAATATATGCCCAAAAAATTTGTGAACATTGGACCAAGGTTGTCACTCAAGAGAATTAAATAGAAAAAAATTTCTTAAAATCATTAAATTAATTTGAACTCTGAAAATATCTTACTGCATGAGATTCTACTTGTTTAATTATTAAATTGTCCTCATTTTATTTTTTTAAGTATAAGTCGTCAACAATTTAAGATGTAATTATTAATAACTATTTCAGTATGTATTAACAACTTATGCATTAAATCTTTGTGATGTACTGAGAAAATGTGTTATTAATATTTATTGTAATAGTTGTTAATCGTTATGTCTTAAATTGTTAACAACTGATTTTTCAGTTATTAATGCATACTTAAAAAAAAGATTTAAACAAGTAGAATTTCTTGCAATAAGTTTTATTGAAATTTCATATTAATTTAATAATGTTAAGAGATTTTTTTATATTTAATTCTCTCAAGTGAGATTTTAGTGTAGTTTTTCCAAAAAGTTTTCAATGACGGATTATATTTTCATAAGCGTACCAAACAGGGTAGAAGTACAGAAGACTTGTCTTTTGTGAGGTGATTGGAACGAAAATGAATCAAAGAAAGCTAAGCCAAGTAAATTGTTAACAAATAAAAAATATTAAATTATCTTCTTTACTCATTTGAATTGACAAGATTGTTTGTTTCAGTCAAAGTCAAAATTACGATAGTGTTGTCATTTTTTTGTCCAGCTGTTACAGAAAAATTTTGGACCGACAAAAACGTATGGTACGCTTATGAGAAGACTAACAAGAATAAGGTTTGGTGAAGTGGGGCACATAATGCTTTTTCAACTTTTTTTTAAAATCTCTTCAAAATCTAATAATTTATATATTATTATAATATGAGAAAGAAAATGAGATAACCAACATCAAATGGAAATAAACTAATTTTTTAATGACGAACTAATACATTTATTTTTATCGCAACAAGCGTGCTATTGAATTAGTCTAATTTAAATGCTACCTCAAACCGTCAAACACACGAGTTTCTTGTAATGAACTATACCCACCATAAATAAAGACTTTTCTATTCCTTTTGAATATATCATACAAATGCACAATACAAAATAATTAACGGTGAAAGTGTAAATTTGTCCTGAAATTTTTTTATTAATTTTGAGTGCAAATTTATTTTGAATATTTGAAATTGTAACAATATTGCTCTTTATCATTAAAAAATTAATATTATTTATTAAAATGATAGCTTTGATCGTTAATATTTTTAACGGTATGGGAATAATATTGTTATGATCTTAAAATATTAGGATAAATTTGCACATTAACCCATAAATAATACACACGCAACAAAGTATAGAATATGAAAGTTTATTTGATAATGTATTAATTAAATTTATTTGATAAAATTTAATGTTCATGCCCGTTTTTATTAAAAAAAATTTAAAACAATGACAATTTATTGAGAACTGGAAAATAATGATATTATATATATTGGTTAGTATAATAACCCTACTATCCCGTTTGGTACAATGGAAGAGCTTTTGATAGAAGTGGAAGTGGAAATTGAAGTAGAAGAAGGAGTAGAACTAGAAATGGAAGTAGGTTCTAAAACGTGTATGGTATGAGGGTGAAAGTGGGATATAATTTTTAAGTAAAATATATATATATTTATATTATAAAAATACTAAAATACCCTCAATAGGAAAAAAAAATCCACTCCCATAGTCCCGACCATCCACTCGCGCATGACCATTGGCGTTCGCTGGAAAGAAATCGTCCACTGCTGGTGATAGTTCATCAACCATTAAACAATTAATCCAAACTCAATTATCAATCCAAGCAATATATAAATCAAATCCAAATACAAATATCAGCCATCAACACAAAAGGGCAAAAAAAAGAAAAGAAAGAGATTGAGAAAAAAGAGATATTGCAACGTCTATGAATCAGGAAAATCAAAAGCTGTGTGAGGG